TTATAATTGTTTATAATTAAAATTTACATTTCAGAGTACTGCAGTAGCAAGACAAAATTACAAATAATTTTGCAGATAAGCATAATAATCTGTTGAAATTTTACAACACTAAATAGATGTTGACTGCATTAATCTCTCAGTTTACAAAACATCTCACGATGAAGCTGTTGTATAGTGTAAATATATTTTTCTTGGTGCTCGTTATAACAAAAGGTTCTATTTGTGTATTTTTTAAATTAAAATTATAATTAACAATAAAATATTTTAAGCTTGTTTTAAACATTTAAAATTCAATGTAATTAAACCAGCAGTGCATTAAATTCATATAATTAATTAATATTACTTCAAACAAAAAAACTGAAGTGAAATTACGATAATATATTTGCGTTCAACAATATTTGTAATCCAAAAATATTAAATAAATTAAAAAAATATATATTTATTGAAACGGGGATTTTCGTTTGGCTGCTCCAAGGTTGTGATAAGAGATTCGTCATTCTGTTATTTTGCTAATGTAGTGCTAAATAAGCCAGTTATCAGAATTTAGCATATAGAATATTCAGTTTATAAGTTTTAGTTATTTACATTTTTTAGACAAAATTATGGCAAGTAGCTCCATGTCAAATTCAAGGTTTCACGAGACACTATTTAAAAATATCACAATCATGAATAGATTATTTTAAGACAGTAAGCATTGAGATTTAATAAGAAAATATATCAGCAATGCTTATTTCAATATCGGTAAATTACTCCTAATTTTATCATTTATATTATATTGTAACTACAACAAATATTCTAAAACAATATTACAATTACATAAAATTGACGTAATTTTCTTTAACAAAAGGTATTTTTCTCTAGTTATCGAAGATTGCACTTTATTCGAATCTAATCATGTATAAATTAGAGATAATATGAACCTTGAAATTTTTATATTTATTGACATAACATGATATTGTAAGATAAATTACAAAATGAATTTCTCATAGGCGCTGAGGGCACTTGGCAATGAGAGTTAGTTACTGATATGTGTTATCGCATAATTATATAAAAATATTTTTTCCAGCAAAACTACTAAATTGTACGGTATAGTAAAGTGATATCACATAATCAATTTCAATTTAAAGATTACAAAAGAAAACGATCAAACAGCTTTTTAACTGATAACTAAACGTATCTCGTACTGGTCGATCTCTACCAAAAACCATCAGCATGTCTTCTAACTGATTTCTTTCAAAATTGGTTTTCGAAATTTGCAAAAACGTTGACAAAGCATTTTTACATTTCTGCTAATTCTAAAAGAAATGTCTTAGTCAATAGTCACGCAAAATTAAACAAAGCGAAGTCTTATCGAGCTTCATCAAATGATCTTTAAATTTTCGAAATCATCTTAAACGTTTTTGAGAAAATGTCCACAAAAGGTGAATAAACTAGTTCACATGCATACTCACATACTTTTTCCAATTTTGATCTTAGAAGATTCGGTATGACTTGAAACGTCCAAAAAAACATAAAATAATAAAGCGGATCTTATGGCAAAAAACCATAAAGTTCTTACTTGGAAAGCTAATAAACTAAAAAAGTACTAGATACTTACAGCACATATTCAATGCGCAGAAATAAAACAAATATTTCCATAATATTTGCTATAAAACATTTATTTATTTAAAAATTAGGAATGACAAGAAATAATATTAGTATTATGAAACTCCTACACACTGAATTTATATCCATATTTGCTTTATCATATATCATTTAATTAAATTGCAAATACTTAAGGTTAATTAGTAGCAAATATATATGTTATCAAGTCATATCATTCTTGTACATAAAATGTTTCATTTTCCATTAGGATGTCCTACAATAATTCCCGTGCCGAAGGGGCGCCCGTAGCCCACGTGGTGAATTGGCACCACTTGCACAATCACCAGTGCCTTACGTGATAATTCATCATGCGCAACACACCATCCTGCACCACTAAGATGATTGCTCAAGACGTGTAAGATCTATACAGAGTTACCATCAGGATAGTAAAGGTTGGCAGGACATAGGCTACAACTTCCTTGTGGGCGAAGACGGCAACGTCTACGAAGGACGAGGATGGACTAAGCAGGAGCCCATACGAAGTCGTACAATTCGAAATCCATAGGGATATGCTTTTTGGGAACGTTTAGTTGTGAGTAAAAAAAAAATATTTCATAGATTTTGTGTTTATGTCGACAAATTTATGTATAACCAATTCCGTATATACTTTGCGGCATTAAAAATTTAGACAATTACAAAGCCTTCTTGTGGATCACCCAAACTCACTTGCCACAGACTATCAGGGCAAGTTTAAAAAGAAATTCATGTTACATATAGAAAATTTAAGTTTCATGTGAACCCTGGTATATTACAAATGACACTCTACATAAATATTAAAAATAAAAAACTATAATTAAATATAAAAAGAAAGGACCAAAAAATACCATGAAAGTTTATCAGATCACCCAAACAGATATTTAAAAGAATTAAGTGAGGAATCTCCTATTCGAAGATTGAAAAAAAGTGGCCATACGATCTTAAATAAAATGTCAAAAAAAAAGAGATATATCATAGGAGATAATCTCTCTAAATGCATTTACAACCAGCATATTGTCTTAAAAATTATATTATTTTGATCGGCAATAAATCTATGCAAAAAAAGTTACAATGACCAACGATTTTCTATTTCTAAACCCATTTTTTTAATCCTACAGTGGTTGTTGTCTATTTCAGGACAAGTGCAAAAATTACGTTATAAACAAAGCTGTATGATATATGCCAATATAATGTAATTATTGAGAAACCATAAAAATTTAACTATGCAATTTAAGGAACAAATATTATCAAACCTAGGTATTATTTTGCCATTATCTATTTTTGCATTTTACGATTCAATTGTTTTAATTATTACTGGACTGGAAATTAAATATCAAAATACTTCGATAAAGATTAGATTAGATCTAATTATTGCAGTAAATATGAATACATAACATTATGTATTTTTAGTATTTCGATGAAGAATGGTCTGAAAATATTCAAATCCTGCAATAAAAAAAGCTTGTCCTATCATTGTATACTAATCATTGGGTCAAATAACAAAGTCATAGTTAATTGACATTATATTTAAATTCAAAGCATTCGATATAGAGGTATAAAGGCCGATAGAGCAACTGACTAATGAAAAATTTAATTCATATAAATGTAATAAAAATCAATTATTCCCAATCATAGTAAAAGAAACAAGATTGGGCTCATAACCTTCTCTATTTTGCATTTCCAAAGATTATGTTAAATAGTACTTAGTTTGAATCTACCAGAGTATTCATAAATATTCTGGTTCAATTCCTGATAACTTGGAATAAAATAATAAAGAAAAAGCAAAAATTAATATAGAAAACAACAGTTTTATACTGAAAATGTTTAAAATACATGTGTACGAGTATACCACAAACTGGAAAGTGTTGTTTATCTATATAAACGAGCACGTCTAAATTGTTTGACATATATTCAATAATGGTACAAAACTATTCAAAACCCACGTGTTATCAATTTGCAAAACCACTAACCTAACCATTATTTTCAATTCCATATCAAAGTAACCACAAAAATACAATATGCCATCCTTTATCATACATCTAATTTTGAAATCTGTTTTTTCTAGCTAAATTCCATCCTTTATCATATATCTAATTTTAAAATTTGTTTCTAGCTAAATTGCCCAATACAGCAGCTTTGAATGTTACTAAGGAATTGATAGAGTGTGGTATCGAAATGAATAAAATTCGATCAGGAAACGGATATAAATTATTAGGACACCGACAAGCATCAGCCACTGATTGTCCTGGACAATCGTTGTACGATGAGATCAAAACTTGGCCTCGGTACGAGCCTAACCCTTAAATAATATGATAAAACATTATGTAAAATTTGAAAATTAATAAACCACATTTTATCTGTATTTTTATATACTACTGGAATATTTATATGAATGCAATTAAAAGTTTATATAAGATAGCCTCCAGTTCAGTTAGTACTTGAATCTTGCTCATCATGGTTGTAGCCAAAACAAAAAAACATATGGTAAAAAAGTAAATTCCTAATGTTCTATGATATTAACCAAACGTTTAAAAGAAATTACTGTAATAAATTTAATGCACATGTTAAACAAATCTATAGATACCTTAGATTCTAAGACTTAGAACTAAGCATATGTTGATCAATAGTTGCAATAAAAAAAAAGCCATTCGATAAAAAAGATTACAGATTTAGTAGGTAGTATTTAGTAAATTTCACGTTTAAAGTGTAAGTTTGATTATACTGAATGATTTATATTTAATCGTAAACAAGAAATGAAATTGCATATTAAGCAAAATGCAAATAACGGTTTGCAAAGCAATGCTGAAAATGCGTGTTAATAGGTCACGTGTAGCCATGGCATAAATTTCATCCATAAAAGTACTTTTTGCAATTAAATAATGGAGTAATAATTATATATGTATTTATACTTCAGTATTAAAAAAATTATGCAGGCTGAGTAATTGTTAAAATTAGATCAAACAATTGCTGTTACTATTATAGGATATGGTCAATAATAAAACAGTATGTCTGAATAATGTTCATACAATTTCTGTTATACATATTAATTCACTTACTTGACAATCGTAATTAGAATATGTATTTCGATTCAAAATAGGCACACATAAATTTATCTTGTTTTTAAAAATACAAAGAACCATCACGAATAAATAAATTGTATTTTCAGAATATACAAAGTCAAAACATGATAAAAATAGCAGAAAGTCTCAATGTCATATATGTTTCTTCAATTTTATGAATAAATAATTTTATTCATGAACGTATGTAAAACCATCTTGACAATAACAACAGTAAGTACAGCATCTTCATCATTAGTGGAATCCAAAGTTGAAGATCATGTAATTTTGATCATATTTATGAAAACATGATTCATCTCAGTTATTGGAAAAAATAATATATATATATATATATATATATACATAATTAAATAGAGCTGCAATTAAATCATTGCTCAATAATGCTAATTGCATTGTGGAAGTACCTAAACTTCTTAGTCATTTAAAACTCCAAAGTTCATAGTACAGCTAAAGTAAAAAAGAGAGATTTAAACCGCGACTAACAACAAAAAGCCATTTATGCCAACGAAGTATAAGAAATTAATTATTTTTCATATAAAAAGCATTACAAAGTACGCTCCGAAGCCATATACCACTATTCCATATAGTTTTATAGCTTGTAAAAGTGAAACAATGTTTATATGAATTAATTTTCGAGATCGTTTAAGAAAGTTTAAGAATGAAGTAGTATTTTAAATTTTAACGAGATTTTGAGAGATAATATTCTGAATCCTAAATTTTGATAATAAAAGCCAGTGCACTTACAGAATAAGAGATTCAAAGTGTAATCCAGTAAATTTTTCACAAGAGTATCTTTTAGCTCTATAAACAAAAATGTGTATTCAATTAATTGTTTAACAAACACTAAAAGTTTAAAAATATAAAAATTAGTCGAATGAAGTTACTGCCTGAGAAAATAAATGCATATTTTATAAAACTTCAAACCTCGAGAGATTTCAAGTTTTGTTTAGATTCTAAATTCATAATTAATCTGTTAATAATAAATAACTCTACCAACAGTTTGTAATGTTTTCACAACGATAATTAACAAAAGTCCAAATATTATCTATTAAATAAAATATATTTTTCATTATTTTGTAAACAATACAATTTTGTAAAGAATTTGAAAAAAGTTAATGGTTACTAAACTCTTAAATGTTCTGGATTATATTAGACAAAATGTTTTTTCACTTTTCTAAAATAAACAAATTAGAAAAGTTATGGTTTTAACTCATGTTTTCAATTATATTTTTTAATATTGTTTCAACTACTCTTGAAGTTTTTGAATGTACTCTATTATGTTAAAAAAAATTCAATCTTTAAAAGAGTAAATATTTGAAATAAGCAATGATTTTAACACATATGTGTTAAAAGCTTATGCTTTTAATTCAGAATTAATATTTTGATAATAAATATCTCTACTCAAGATTTTTCATTTTATCACAACTAATTTTAAAAAAATTCTAAATACTCTGGATTATATTAAGGTGAATATATTTTATTTCTTTGATTTGGTTTTTATTCGTATTTTGATTTCGAAATTGATATATTAATAATAAATAACTCTATCTAATCTCAATTATATTGAACTTGGTATACTTTTCTTTCTTTCTTAAAACAAACAACTTATGAATATTTCATGGATTTGTTTTAACTCATGTTTTCAATTCATAATTAATCTATTAATAATAGATAACTCTAATAATAGTTTAAAAAATTCATGGCTTTGACCTATATTCTAAATTCAAAATAAATGAGTTAATAATAAATGACTCTAATAGCAGTTTTTAATATTTATACTTTAGTAAAAGTTGTAATTGTAAGACTAAATGTATCTTTATTTAATTTATAAAAAAAATCAATGAGAAAAATAATGGTTATGAAAAAAAAAATTCTAATGACAGGGAGAAGTGGTGATTAGTAGTTTTTGGCAAATGCAGGTCCAGCGGTTTCGGAGATACAGAGCTAAATGTGCAAAAAATGACAGTTTTTGAGAGAACTAAACGTCCGATTTGAATGATTCAAAGAACTTTCTGCTTGTTTTAACAAGTAATTGCTTTTGGAAAAAAAATTGTTTCAAATTTTTTTATTTGAAAACATTTAATATTCTTCCACCATTTTGTTACGGCATGGGAAGTTCCAGTAATTTGCCTTAAGGCACGATGCCATACATCAGTAGTTTATTTATTTATGGTATAATAAATTTGGGGAAATTTAATGGAAATTTTTAATGGCAATGGTAACTAATCCCCATTATATTGAATAAAATATGATTTTAGAAAAATCAGATAAAATAAACAATTTCGAGAAAACCAATCATCCAAACTTATGTTTTCAATTGATAATCAGTCTCGACTTTAATAAGAGTTTAATATGTGAGCTCTATTCTCAATTATAGTAAACTAAATAATTTGGAAAAACCAACAGTTTTAACTCATGTTTTCAATGAATAAATAACCCTAACAATAGTTTATAATGCTAACGAACTTCAGCAAAAGAAATCTAAAAATTCAGAATTATATTAACCTATATGTATTTATAATTCTTTTTATGAAATAAATCATTTACGCTCTATTATATCACTGAAAAAATTAACATTGTCTTAAAATATTATGCAAAACCTTATAAAAAAAATTATTTACCTTATAAAAAATCCTTAATTGTATAATAACAAACAACCACTTGAATGTAACTCCACTAATATCATTTATGACTATATACCGGTCGGAAAGAACGTTAACATAACACTGTCTATAGGTTTATTCGAACTGAATGAGAATATTCGAATATCTTAGCTACATTATTTATTATAAAAATAAGAAAGAAAATCGTCGGTGCGTTGCCATCGTCGCGACTCGTACTTTGCACCTTCGCACCACTCGGACTGAAAATTTTCGCTCTATCGAGGATAAACATATGTACGTGGATTTGTAATGCAATTGATTCGAAGCGGAGAACATCGTTTAATTAGATAAGAATGTTGCTTCTCCATTGTTCAATTATTATTGAATTTGTATATGTATATTGTATATTTATTTATGTATGTGTAGGTGTAATAAAATAAAATCACGCGTCGATGATGATGGTTCCACCTTTGTGCTCTGATAGAGAGGGGAACGCAGTGTGTTAGGAATACAAATACTGTATTCATCAAAGAAACTTATAGTACTGTGTATTTCTTTGTTATATATTTAAAACAATACTTTCTTGTTTTTATTTATAGTTAATGTAAGATATTAAACTTAAAACAAATGCGTTTTATCCTGTTTTAGTGTCTTCCGCATTCAACAGATGGTGTTCTGTGTTCAAATTCATCGCTCGTTTTAAGGAACTGATTCTCAAATTATAATACATGTACTTCTCTTTTCAAAGAACTCATTTTTCAGGAATTGTTGATCTTTTTTTCATATATAGTTCAGTCATTTGGTAGCTTTACTATAAGAATTTTTCGGAAGTTTTTAAAATTGGTGATTTTATAGATTTTGATGTGATCTTTACGAATTACGATTTAAAATGTTCAATCACCAGCAAAAATAAAAATGAAAAACAAAAGTAAACATTTTATTTTATTCCTAGGCCAGACCTAAAGGAAAAAGCTTAATTCAACATTGAAATTACATATTTATTTATTAGAGAGAATGCGTTCAAGTGCAAAGAGCGGCCAAATACTGAGAGGAGAAATGGCGGCGCGAGCAGCAAAAAATTTGCGGCGCACGTATGCTAAAACTATTGTTGTCACAGAAAAACGTTATTGAATAAATTATAGAAAATTTTGTCTAGTTTTATATTTTGTCTAGTGAATAATTTATAGAAAATTTTGTATATAGTTATTTCATTGTAATTGAGTCAGAAAGGAGATATCGTTGAAAAACTGATTTTTGAGGCAATTTTTCCAATATGGCGGCGGCAGCGGCAAAAATTCGAGGTCCCAAAGTTGAAATTCGTAAAGATCACACCAAAATCTATAAAATCACCAATTTTCAAAACTTCCAGAAAACTCTTAAGGTAGCAGATTTTTGCACCAAATGACTGGGCTAATACTATATATACTAAGATAAAACGTATAACAATAATTATATACATCGTGAGAATATGAGATTATACCCTTGATTATATATATTAATCTCATATATTTTAATTATAAACTGTAATTCAACCTAATCAATGAAATACATATTTTTAGATCTTAATCGATAAACTGATAGTTTATTTGAATTTTGAATAGTATCTGAATAGTATATTCGACGCGTATGTTCTCATTTATTCAAATATTTATTTTATTCAAAACAATTAGGTTTATCTTTTCTTTATCATACATTATATTTCTATACTATATATAAAAAGTGAAATTACAGAAACGTTTACAAGTATTTAATATCAAAACTTTTTTTTTTTATTTTAATGACGCCAATAGACTATTTATAGTCTATAGTATAAAATATACCAAACCATAGTTATATTCTATGGTTTGGTATATTCTACACGTTAAATTATTATTATTAAAAAAAAATAGGTTTCTATATTTTTGGTTTCTTATTTTTTGACACATTTTTGGGAGTGCCATAATTGTAATAAAAACCATTTCAAAAAATAACTCTGGCCTTACCAATGAAAGGATATTATATGAATATTTATTTCTTCATTTCATTAACGCCAATTAGGTCATATAATTTAATATAGGCAAGGTATATGTTAAGCATATTCAAAAAAATAAATTATTAAAAATAAAAGTGCTTCTTCAAAGCCAAAATAAATCAGTAGTGCATTGCATTGTACCTTAAAGCAAATTTTGCAAGAATTTTCTGCACCACAACATTCGAGGAATAACAATAATCTATCAATGCAATCAATAAAAATTTATCAATAATTGTTTTAAATATTTTCAAATGGATTTTTATTAATTCTGTAAGTTTCATCATTCGTATTTTATAGACAAAATATAGGAGTTTATAAATTAGGCAAAGAACCAAAGAAATGGAAACAAAATGTGCACTTATTATTCAAATTTCTATAAAATATCTGATAATTTGATGTACTTATTATTTTTGACCACTAAAGGTCATTTTTGGAGCTTTGTATATACTTCATATTAAAAAAAACAGTGTGCAAAAAATGCACATATAATATTAAATAACTTTCTGTTATATTTTCAAATAAAAAGTTTTTTGCACCATGTGTATGTGTGATTAAAATAAATGTATGTGTAGTTAGAATTTAAAGATCATGCATATACCTTTCTATAAAAAATGTTGAAAACCCATATTGTAGCCTTGATGATAGTATAGAACGTGAAAATATGGTTTCTATTAATTATAATGAAATACCCAATTTTTTAGAAAAACGAAATTTCCGTTATAACCATGAATTATCTAGCTAGCAATGCATACTAACCATCACAAGATGTAGAAAAATATAATACAGTAATTCCTAAATTTTTACTGAATTTGGTTTGGTTGGGATTAAATAATGTTGTAAAATTATACTAGATTGATGCATATGAAAGTGCAAAATTTCCCATATGACTTTAATTAAGATTTTTTGTCTGGAAAAATAACTTAATTCGTGTGAACTATATGATTTTGATTTTTTCTCCAAATAACGCTAAGAAGGTACATAGTGAAAATATATCACAAAATTATACTTTGATATCACTTAATTATATGTTGATAAAAACTCTGAAACGTTAATCAATTCAGAGTTTGGCTCATTGTTAAATAAAACTCATTATGAATAACTTATCAAATAATAGATAAAACCGACTTGTTGAACTTTGATTGAACTCTATTGTTTTAAAATATATCAATTGTTAATCATGTGTCTGCATAAAGTATTATCAATGAAAAGAATGTTATTTTTTGAAATATCAACACATGGTACTCTTATTTCTTGTACTATTTATTAAGTAATATTAAAGTCACAAACGTTTCGAGACTGGTTTGTCCCATCAAATAAAAGAATTAAGAAATATATATTTCGTTCAAATTAGTTTTTCTATCAGGTAAGTAACAAATTAGCATAAATGATTGAAATTTGTGTTAATAAACGTCTTATGCGGGATATGGCAATATGTTTCATTGTGCAGAGACCGGCGAGATAATATATTAAGCATAATCGTCTTAACGGGGTTTTACTGTATATGTATTATGATATATTTGATGTATACTAGACATATAAATTTTTAATGTAAATTCAAGTATAATTAATCAAAGTTTTCATTGTATATAGCAAGAAAAAAATACAATGTCATAATTATAAAATAGATATTAAAAACCTTCGTAGTTAGATTTAATTAGAATTTATCCATTTAATACAGAATATTTCAAATGGTAAAAATATACTATATGAAAGTCTATGCAATAAGAATGGTTGGGAGTTTTTGTTATAATAAATTAGATGATATTCATTTCACCGACTTAAATTTTTTCAGTAATTTATGTTGCAGAATGCACATATGCAACTATCTTTAGCAAATAAAAAATAATTAACACCCCTCGCCCTTTAAAACATTCAAAAACTATGAAAGTGCCCAAATTTTAATTCATGCCCTAAAATATATGAAATTCTTATAGCAAAACAGAGGAAATCATAACCTATGAAAAGACATGCATATAAAAATAGTACATACATATTTCAGCCAGTTCAATAGATTCTATCAGTCTTACACTATAATTTTATAGTTCATTGCACTATAAATTTAGACAAACAAACTGTAATCACTATAAATACACAAAACAAAAATTCATGACATTTCTTAAATAAAAACTATTTTCCACTACACTCAAAGTGAGTTGCCAGTACTTGCAGCACATGACAAGAATTTGCGCGCGATTTTTAAATGTTTGAAGTTCACGATAAAATATCTGTGATGAATTTAATATTTTATATGACACATAATATATTATAAACACTTTTATTATCAACTTTATTACTATTTTCAATTATTCCACAATTTTAGACAAAAGGTACATTAAAACGAATGCAAATATCAGATTTCATAAGAGTGCTGCCAGTGATGATGCCATATTATAAATATATGATCAAGGAATATATTTATATTTGATTTGAATTATATTTAATTTCTTTTGTATGTACAATCAATTTATATATAATGGATTTCAGATATTGGATTTGGTAGAAATATCAAATTTGCAAATATTTTCATTTGAATCAGCTGTTTGCTTGTTGCGCAAAAAGCATGCAATCTGTCAAATGTACTAGATAGTGGCCTGTCATGTTATCAAATTTCAAATATTATTATTTACAAACATATTTATTGATCATGCTATCCTTTCATATATAAACAATTTATTTACGTGCATCTTTTTTCTATTTTCATTTTAATCCTTGTTTGTAAATACTTGTCAAAGTTCTAATTTTAGATCATACTAGAATTACGCCTTGCATATTTTTGTTGCAAAAATAAAAAGAAAAACATTAATCAAATCCGAATAATGGAGCAACCACCTTTTATTGGCGATTGGGTGAGGAAAATTAAATTAGGTTGCGGCGGTTTTGGCATTGTTACACTTTGGCAAAATGATAAAATACCTGATAGTTTAGGTAAATGAAACAAACCCTAAAATATGCTAATATAATCGTAGATTTAAGGAAAAATATACTGATTAACTAATAATGTTTGTTAAAAATTTGTTTCTGGTTCCAAAATTCCACAACCTAAATTTTTGTTGTAGCTATCAAAATGTGTCGACCAGATATTGCAAATCGAATTACCCCAAAACAGCGTGAAAGATGGACAAAAGAAGTGCATATTATGAAAAGTATAAGTCATCCAAATATTGTACACACAAAACGTATTCCACAAATATTATTTGAAGCCTTAAAAGAATATAATATATCAGAATTACCTATTCTGTCAATGGAATATTGCAGCAAGGGTATGAGAGAAAATAACGTTTTGTTATATTATATAATGATTTATATTTAAATATCATATAATTCCTCAGGTAGTTTACGCCACGTACTTAATCAGACTGAAAATTGCAGTGGTTTATCTGAATCAGAAGTTCGATACATATTTGAAGATATATCAAGTGCTATTGCATATTTGCATAACATGAAAATCACTCATAGAGATTTAAAACCGGATAATATTGTATTACAAACACTTGATTCATCTCTACAAACACAGCCACAATTTAATAACAGAACTAACAAAGTTGTGTATAAACTAATAGATTTGGGATATGCTAAAGAATTAGACGAAAAAAGTATATCAGAGAGTTTTGTTGGAACTTTGCAGTATTTAGCACCAGAAATATTGCTTAACAAAAGCTACAGTAACTCTGTTGATTATTGGTCTTTTGGACTAGTTGCTTTTGAAATCATTTGCGGTGTACGACCATTTTTGCCAAATATGTCTCCAGCACAATGGTAAATTATGTGAAGACATGTTTTAGCATTTTTTGCATGTAGTCTTGGATCATATTTTAGCATTTGCTTTAATTACATGTTGCCTCAATCGAGATTAGAATAAAATTTTATTTAATGTGCTATTTCAGGTTACTACAAATACAAAAGAAAAATAGTGACACAATTTGTATATATCAAGATATAGACGAAAATAAATCAATAATTCATTGTGATAAAATTTATGCAGAAAATTTTATATCCGGTGCATTGCAATCTAAATTCGAAAAATGGTTTAAGCTTGCATTAGAGTACGATAGTAAACAAAGAGGATATGAAAAAATGAAGCCAGGATCTCAGAGCAACAGCATATTAGAAAAGAAATGTGTAACATTTAATGATATTGAAATTGATCGAATTAATAGGGAAACAAAGTTTTTCACATTATTAAACACAGCACTCAGAACAAAGATTATAACTGTTTTTGTTGTATACACTTATCAAATATTAAGTTATGAAATTGAGGAAACGCTCACAATGAATAGCTTCCTACAACAAATTCAAAATGATACTACTAATGAAGTTTTAGTCAGTGAAATGATTTTAGTACTGCCAAATCGAGAACAGGAAAAGATTGATTATGATGGCTTTGCAAATCAACTATGGACAAACGTGAGAAATTTTATTATTAGTTTAAAAATTATATTTTTAAAATATTGTTCTAGGTTTTTCTTACTTCCCGCAATAAATTTGAAATAAAATTCGAATAGAAAATAGAAATAATAAAGACATTAATATATCTTATTTTTTTGTAGAATTTTGATACTCCAATGGTACATATTGGAAGAAAGGGCAAATAATTTCTGAAAAGTATATAAATCTTGAATCATCACCTGATCTTATAAAACGAATGTACAGCTGTCCTAAAATTAAAATTCTGGGACATTTTATGAAAAATTTGCTTCTGATTGTTTATATTACGTTAAAAAAGAAATGCAAATCTATGATACCCTTATTACCAGTTGCAATAGTAAAATTAAGATTATTCAAGAAAATATATCAAATATGACTAATGCATACCATGATATGAAATCAGAGTGGATGTTATTATCAAGAAATCTTAAAACATCTGAAGATGCATTAACTTTTGATTGTACAAATATAAAAAAATTGCATAATTCCAATGTAGATTATGATAAAAAATGGACAAAAGCCTTCGAAAGCTTATGTTTAAAAGTCAACACGATAAAAGATGCTATTGAACACATTTCAAAGAGATATGACTCTATTAAACGTAGAAATAATAATATAGATTTTCAAAAAATGTTTAGAAAAGCCAGGACTATTCCTGAAGTTGAATCAATGTATGTAGAACTCATATTATGGAGATTTACAAATCTACTTGACCTCTAATGATGTTATGATATTATGTTTTAGATTCAATGATATAAAACAAAATTATGAACATATAAGAAGAATATTGAAGGGCGACTTCAGCATTGGTGACAATCCTGATGTTTGTAAAAACCTTAAAAAAGCAATAATTTTATTTATAAGTGCCAGAGAAAAGAACATGCTCAAAGATCAAGATATGAGAATGAATATACTGTAAGTACATCATCATTATATAATGCATTAAATATCTACCATCATGAGCTGTTATGTTTTGTAGATTTATACTTGATCTGGATGCTGAAATTACAAAAATTTTATCTACTATTAACAGTGCTATAAGCAATATTGTTAATTTAACTAATGAATTAACAGCAATAAATGCTAGCCGACAACAAGATATTTGGGCACAAATTAATGTGCAAACAAATATATCAAATGAATCAGCTGACAATCCAGAGAAAATACTGGATTTTGCTTTATATGCTGTTCCTAAGCAGGGCATTAAGTCCAATGGAATATTATTAAACAATGAGGAAAATATGATAAATAACATCACAAATAGCATTTCGGGAAATTTTGATTGTAAATCAATGATTGATGATAATATTTCTTTGCGGTACATGTAAGTATTTATTGAAATAACAAACCCAAAGAGGCATTAACTTGTCACTTTATCACATGAACTTGTGATTGCTAATGCATGTTTTCAAGTAATATTTAATCTTAATTTCTCATAAATCTCTGGTGAATTTTTTTTTCCTTTAGGCAGCAAGATTTGATCCAAGAGTGTTTAGATATGTATAAATCTATTATGAATGATCATATGGACTTTGGTTTTCTAAATGATTAAACCACACGTTTGCCACATGCATATAAAATAAACAAATTTATATTTTAATTTCAAATATATTATGCATTCTCCAATAAATTAATATATGTATATATGATATATATTTTAATAACTTGAATTGAATAGAGTTCTTCATTCATATAAGAATTAACTCAATTTTCATAAAAATATCACTTGTTATTAGAATAGAAATTGTTACTAATTTTGTGCAGAGTCATGTATGGATTTAATAGCTTCCGTCAAAGCTTCAGGTGTGGGCTTCTTAGACACATGTGCCACATTGATATTCTTGTCTTTCATCGCTTTTTCAGTTGTTGGCCCAATAGCAACAAATTTTATTTTTTCCATATCAATATGAAACTTTTCAAAGAGTGGTACAGATGCTGCAATCCCAGAAGGACTAAAAAATACTATAAATTCTGGGCATTCAGTCCCGAATTTAGTCAGTTTTGAAAATTTTTCTTCAAAGTGCACATTTGGTATAGTTTCATATACTTCAAATGGGGCTAACGGTATATTTTCCTTCTCCAATTTATTTGGTAAAATGTCCATTTTCAAGTTACCACATGGAAATAATAGTGGTTTTTCAAATGCATGATTTTGTTTGTGTGATATGATTAAATCTGCTAAAATGTTAGCGTTACCACATTTCTTCACCTACAGATTTAGTTTCAATTTTTTTTCTACTAATAGGGAAGTACCACGACCAACAACATATATTTGCAAATTACTATTATTAAACCATGTTAAATTACTGTTAATTGCCTGGCTGAACCCTATAACAGATCTAGGACTAGTAAATACGATTCCTGAATAATTTTCAGAATTATCAAGTGTATTTTCAGCATTTGTATGGTATTTAAAATCGATAGCAGGTATTACAGTAACCGAATATCCATTATTCTGCAAATCTTCTTCATATAAATCTGGTTCACCATCCGAATCAACAGCGGCTTTACAGAGCAACACATTTTTTTCTTTTAAAATCATAACAAACTCATTCCTCGCAATTATATCTCATTAAAATCATTTCAACTTGACATTAATCTTTTTTTGGTTACTTTTCATTTTCAATAACACAAATGTCAAGAATTACCATCTTGCAAAAGCGAATAACGTAAAACCGCGAATTTTAAACATGAAAATATTACTATTAGATAACAGATAAAACGAATATTGTGAAGTAATATAAATATTTGCACACAGAAAATATCTATATTTTTAAGTAAAGTACATTTATCTTTGGATATCTCTATAAATGCTAAAATTCGAAGACATTACATTTTGGTTTTGAAATAAATGCATTATGACTAGATTTTATTTAGTTACCAATTTTGTGTTCTTTTTTACAAATTTTTGGTCAATTTTCATATTAATTTTATATATCAAGCATATTTCCAGCATTAAGATGAAAATTTGAACTCAATTAATTCAATCTCATCTAAACTATTGTAATTTATTATAACACCCTAGCTCAAAAGTTCAAAATAAATGGGAATCAAATTTTTTCCTCTATTATTTATTTTAAAAATTAATTAATTAGTTTTAATCCTGGATATTTTTAATTTTTATGTCAAATTAGACATAGCATTGGCACAATTAATAAATGATGTGTTTTAATTCCTACTCTACTGACTACTTAACATAAAAAAAAAAATAGAAAAATGCAATATATGTTCCTTACCTATATAAGTCGCTCATCAATAAATCTAAATTTTACAATAATATAATAGCATGGTCTCGCTCCAATCTTCGTCTAGCTCTTATTTGTACAGAACCCATGCCATCAGATGGTGGGGGTATTCCTGAACGCTTCTCTGCTGCTTGTGGTAGTACATCTCAATTCTGCCAAATTGGTATCCAAAACAGACACTTCATCACTCCTTTAATTGAAAAAATGAAAATTAATTATAGAAATCAAAATAGATTTGTAACATATGTTTAAAAATCTACCTCAAAATAATTTCTGAAATCTCTTTTGAAGTTACTAAATCACTGTGCATATGACCCAATGCTGATAATTCTTGAGGATCCCATGGTCCCCCTCGATTGACCACATCCCATTGAGAATCCAACACACATAAAACTATATCCTTGTTCATTATTAGATGGTATTTGCTCTGGCTCAACCGCTCCAAGAATATCTCTTAGTTTAGACTCAAGTCTTGGTAAACGACTTACACAAGTTTCCCACTTAAAAGGAAATATTATTTTTTAATTGATTTTAATTAATAATGACAGATATACTTACCATTTCTGTGATGAGCTGCTCATTATATCCAGCACCATCTTCAAGAATTAAGAGAAGGGTCATATCACGTTGTCCACATATTAACAAATGAGAACGTACTCTTCCACCAAAAGCCTCAGAATGATTTAGATCTGAATTAATCACTGATGAAATAGGAGTATTGCATATAGAAGATTTATCCTGTGCATCAGTTGTGTGTGAAATCATATATAGAATCTTGCAGTGCGCTTAATATACTTAATTTACTCATTAAAGGAGTTAATGGTACTGGTCCTGGACCTATGGGAGTGTGCGACTTCAGAGGCAATGTCATTTTACTCTTGTCTAAAACTGAGGAAAATTTGATGCTGGTATCCACTTCTTTTGGTGATGGTTTAGATAATATTTCCTTTTTTGGTTTGTCTTTATTAATTTTTTTTGTTACTTCTAGATCAAGTTTTTCAATTGGATTTTCTAGGATAAAATCTGATGTCATATTGTTGTAGCAAGGTTCACTTAAAGTTCTATTTCTTTTCAAATAGGAATCATCACTATCATCACAAGCATCTTCATTATTCTCAAATTTAAATTTGCTTAAACCAAAACCATAAGTGCGCATTGGAAATCCTTTATGCATGATTTGCTTTTTTCTTAAATCAGGTAAACTGTTTCTTCTTTTATATTTTTTTATATTCAAAAATCCATCTTGCAGCATTTTTAACTTGCTTAAGTCATTTTCAAATTCATCTGCTTTATTAAATTGCTTTGGATCCTTATTTCCACATCCTTAATTTCAATTTCACCACAAATTGACATTGCACGTCCATGCAAAATCTTATTTAAATCTGTCATAGGAGTGGAGCATACACTAGTTTGTCTTTTGAATTCAGGAATCATTTCATCCTCATCTGTTTTATCAATGCCCAATCCTGAATCAGGTAGGTCTCGAGAAGTTACATTCTTATATTTTAATGGTAAATGAGTAGGTCGACTGAACTTTTGATTGTATTTTTGACTAGTCTTATTTTCAAATATAGTTTTTGTAGAATCTATATCTTCTAACTTTGCACAAGTAGAATGATCAACATCTTCCTCAGGTACCGATGTAAAAATTATAGATTTATCACGCTTAAGTGAAGTTATAGTTGTTACATCCTTATTCGCAGTTGCCTAAATATGATATATAGAATACATATTCAAATGGAACTTTAATCAATAAGTAAAATTAAACATTAACAAACCTTGTTTAGTAATAATTGTTTAGTTTGTGATAAGGATTTTGCTTTATCACTTAAATTCTTGAGATACTTATATTCTTCTTGCTCAATATAGACAATTAATATTTGGGTTTCAGCTGGTAAATGAAATCCAATCTCAAGCCTTTCAGCTGAAGATTTTATATGGTGCGGATCTGTTAGAACTAGATATTTTGTTATACTGGGAGGAAGTTGTGTAGCCACGACTCTAAATTGTTAAAAACATTTTAGTACACATCCTGGAATTGCAAGTTAAATAAGAATAAAATGCTTTACTTATTGTGGTATAAAATAACACCTCCAAGTACATTATTCCGATGTTGACAAAATTGCAATGTATGCATAGCTTCTAGGAAAACATTGCTTCCACTCTAAAATATCCAGCAAAAAAGAAATAATTATAAAAATCATTAAAATTCTAATATGAATAGATTATAGCAACACACATTCAAATATTACCTTTGGTAGTCTTATAACAGGAACATTTTGAAAAACGTTACTCCAGTGTTGCAATATTGACAGATATGATTCAAAAATTTGATATAGTTTATCTGATAACTTGCTTCTTCCAAATGAATCAGATGGAGTTTGAGCAGTTAATTCAATTTGATATTTTATAACTTGAATATCACAGTGATAAAATTGTAAGAGGGAAGACAGTAACTCAGCTCGACGTAAGAGAATCCAATTAGCAATATTTCTATCAGTTCCCACGGCCTACAAAAATATCATGCATTTAAATTCTTAAATCATTTCACAATCTAATATATAATCACTTCTATTACAAACTAATTACCAATATATATCTTCCAAAATGTTTCATGACAAATTTCCCACTCTTCAATTCAATTATTTTTGGGCAACTAAATACATTTTTCAAGAAATAAGTTGTCCCCATTAACTGACCGCACAGTGCCAATCTTTGTTGATCTGAGACCCAACTTGGATAAAAGTAAAGAACAGCCTCCGAAGGATCATCATGCTCAGTTTGACAATGTAAAGTGTCATAAACGAACAAAATAGGCATTTCCCTGCAATTAAAATAGAACGTAATTTGTTGTTAATATTGAGGATAAAATGTACAGTTTTCTGTAAACATTTTGCAAACTAAAGCATACTTAGACATATTGGAGTTGTTCAGAAAACTTTGGATTGATATAATAAATATTTATTTTCTTGTGCCTCCATTTTATGAGTAACTAACGTTACTCAAAATTATCGTTATTATTATTATTAACGATTTAAATAGATAAATCACATTGTAAATTCTGACTTGATATCAGTCCTGGCACATAATAATACAGATAGTTATCAAAAATATTGAATGTTGTCACTAGAGTGGTTTTAACTTTTATATTTTAATTTAATTTAATTATAAATTTTCTTTCAAATATTACGATCCTCAATTACGATTATTAATTACGAATGTATGTTTATTTACTCCCGATAAAAATGCTTTTCTTCAAATTTAGAGCAGTGATAAGATGTCAAACAAGCAAGATTGCCAACGTAAAAAATGTATATATATGTTTCCCTTTTACTGTTTTTTAAATGTCAAGTATTTTTTTACATTATGATTCTTCGCTAAGCTTATTTTAGACATTAATTTATAATTTATATCATAACATTTAAGAAAATTATCAACTGAACAAGTGAAGAATTATATTCAGTACGTAAATCAAAAACAAATATCCGGCAAATTTTTTTACAATTTTCGGTCAGTTATTTTCTTTTATTCTATAAAGTTTTAATTTTAAAATGTATAAAGATGAAGGATACTACGACAGAAAATATGCCAATAAAATGTATTGCGACAAATATCCACCAAATAAAAAATATAGTGATGAAAATCTAGAGCAATGCATAGACGATTTTGAAGCACTAAAGTTATCTGCTTTAGCAAACGCTAATAAAAATTAAACAGTATGTAAAAAGTGTCACAATTGGACCCGAAGCTTCAGCAGAAGAGGAAATCAAAGTCACATTATCAAAATTAATAATGATTCTAAAAAAAGAAGTATTAAGTCACGTTTAGGACCTCCAGTGTCAAATCGTTATCAGCTTAAATCAGCTGTTATAAAAATTGAGAATAAACCACTAAATGACAATACCACTTGTAGTTCGTGGAAAGAAAATGTTCGTAGCAATGTAATGAATATTAATATGTTAAGATATGAATTGGATCAAGGTAATAGATATGCTGCACAGGTAAGAAATGATGAATTTGAAATTTAATTTGATTTATCCATTATTTTTCATTTGAAAAAATCTACTTTAATAGTTATTACAACTATTAAGTTATGCATATTTGATTTTTGATTTAATAGAAAAAAGTTTGGGAATTACAAAAGAAATTTAATGCTTTTGATCAATACTTGTATGAAAAATCAAAGCAAGAGTTTAATAACAGGCAATCTGCTTATAATGAAAGATTGGAAAGAATAGAATCTGATATGATACAGAATCTAGAAAAGTATCAACATGAGGTAAATAAGAAGAAGCAACAATTGTTACAAGAACAACAAGAGCAAGTTCAGGTATATTGATTTAATATTCTTTATAGAAAATTTACTCTTTTTTTGTAGTAGCACTACAAAAGTTCTTTCGAATTGCAGCAAAAACATAGAAGAGCTTTGGAAATAAAAAAACAAGAAGAAATTAGAAAAGAGCGATTGAAGAAAAAGGCAGAATTGGATGCCATATTTAACTCCCAAAAAGAATTTCGCACAATATATGAAGAAATTGTTAAAAAATTTGGGTTTGTTGTTTTGCATAGTATATATTATTTTTCATTTTTTAAATTCAATTATTTTTGAACAGATCATACCAAGATGTCATATCAAGAGAAGTTTTAACAGAATTCAGTGACGAAGTTAAAGTTCTTGTAAATGATATAGATAAATTAGCACTGAAAAGCAAGGTAAGATTATCATCATCAATAAATATGCCTCTGGAGCTCCTAATTTTTTTGTTCTTAATTTAGGATGGATCAACATGCCCTGAAGACGTTATTAAAGCTCAACAACTGGTCGATGGAATTAGAAAGCAATGTAGTTTAATAAATTCAGAATATTGCAAGGCAGTTACTAGCATTCAAATCCAAAACAATGCACAAACACAAAGGCATACACAGAAACTGGATTCCCCTAAAACGGAATATGTTGAGCAAGTCCAGCAAAACAACCAGTAACAGAAACAGATAGTATTTTGCAAACTACCGAAAATAGCCATGTAGACAATTCTGGAGCTATCAGTGGTTTGTGATCTTGATATTTCTAGTTTGCAACGATCACTGTTTTTTTTTTATGTAAATATGAAATATTTTTAGAATATGAACATGGGAGCAAATTAAATTGGAGAAAAGTAGCTGAACATAGAAGCTTTATATTAGAATTTGCCTCATATTTTCAACAATTGAAGTCTGATCCAGCATTAAAGAAATTTCGATTTGATTGTCAAAAAGCAGTTAACATACCAGTCAATGCTATTGCTGGGAAAGGAGAACATCATACTAAGGTACTGTCTTTTTAATACAAATGAGGTTATCAAATTTACAATCATTATAATATTAAAATTAATAGGATAAACTGCAAAAATTAGATAATTTATTAGCTGGAAAACAAATTCAAATTGGTAAAATGGCACTATGCGCTGGACAACATCCTCAAGGGTAGCTTACTGTTTTGACTTAGTTGCTAAGAGCATGGTGGTAAGTTTGTGCATAAACATAATAGACAGGTAATTAGTTTGAATAAGTAAAATAAAAACAAATTTAATTACTTACAGAAACAAGGAACCCATGTTGCTAGCAATCCCGAATCTGCATTTCCTATTGCCTTTGTAATAGCAGCATTATGGAGTAAATATCCCAATTTTGGAAAATTAATTTTGGGATATTTTATGAAACATGTCCATATCTTGCACCTGTATATCCTATTAAAACATCAGATATGACTGAAATAGAATATCAGAGGTAAACAAATAATTTTCTTTAATAATTTCTTTCCTGAAAATTTAATAATTTTAGACTTTTGGGATATGAAGTTTCATCAGATGGAGTAGTTGAAGCAACTGACTTATTTCTAAAACGAGTTTGTGGAACTGGAAGATTGTTTTTTGCTGTAATGATGGTTTCTTGTAATAATCATCCTTTTGCCTTAAACCATGCTTGGTCATGGCTCGCGGATACTTTAAATTTTGGTATGAAAAAATATACATTAACATTGTTAATAATATTTGATAAAATTGTATGTTTTTAGCGCCAAAACCTGATATCAGCGCAAGTCTTATTTTACAATGTTTAGAAGTCACAGGACATAGTCAAATGAATTGCTACAAACAGCAATTTTCAAAAATCATGATGGTACTTATAGAAGAATATATGCCAGCATTAGGAAAGGTAAAATGATTTGAAAATATGAGTAAAGATAAAGTATTAAATTCATTTCTAATTTTTTATAGGTTGATAGTGGTGGTCCTTATGCAAGGTTAAAAGAATTTTTATTAAAGGCAATAGAAACTGGTATGATAAAACCTCCTAAGTACACACCAAATACAGATACTGTTGAGTATCTTTAAATACGAAATAATTGAATTGAACTTAAAATCACATCATACATTAATAAAATATAATTTATGAAATATACACTTTTAATTTATTTGTTCCAATTTATAACATTTATAAAAGCTTTTTGATAAAGCACATCTGCATAATACTAACAGGAATGTTTAAAAACAATGAGTGAAATAATTAGTTTATTACTCTATGATTGTGATGTGACTAGAGTTTCTCTTGTGACCTAGTGTACATCAAAATGTACTATTATTTATTTAATCATATTTTCTATTATTAAATGGTTGTAATTGCAGCTGCCACATATTTACTAAGCAAGTAATTGAAACTTTTTAAACGAGATTGAAGTGAGTGAAAAATGTTAATATTTTTGACATGGATATATATATATATATATATATATATATATATATATATCCATAACTTTTTCATGAGATTGAAATTGACTATTGAATAAATTAATTGACTCATTAATTTAATTAATGAGTGATAAACCATGAAATTTAAAAATATATAATAATTGCAAGCATATACCTAATATCCCTGATTTTTGTTACCTATAAGTAAGCAATTAAGTAAAGGTACTGATGTAGAATAAAAACATGTTACCACAAAAGCATGTAATTAGTTCTATTTAGAACTAGTTAAAAAATTAGTCTTCCTTTCTAGCTGGAAATGCTTCAGACATTCCCAAAATGCTTGTAGAACCATCTTGGACTCCAAAATATATCAGCCGGTACATTCCTAAAATACATTATTGCATATACACTTTTATATTTGTAATGTCTGAGAAGTAATAATAGTTAAATACATTGCATAAAAATAAGTTCATCATATGTACAAATTGGAAATCCTTATTAAAGGTACCTGCTGAATGTAAACTGGTGTCAGGAAACAATATGTTGCAGCACTTTGGTGCAGTTATTTCACTATTAGATGAACTATGTCCATTTGCAGTATCCATAATATTTCCATTTCTAACATACATATATTCCTTATATTCGTCAAGGCTGTTAAACTCATCCTAGCAAAATATTTAATGCTCAAGATTTAAAAATAAATAATAACTCACAGCTAATTGTATAATGAGTTTTTGAAGAATTAGTTACATAATGATGCAGATTTTAACTAACCTTATAACACCAATCCAGTCTTCAAATGAAATCTCGACACCAGGATTAATAGTGTACTCCACTTTATTCTCTTTGTCTAACTTCCACAGTGCTATTGAAGCAAACTTAACTTGTGCTTCTTCCTTTAGCTCGGATACCTGATCACCATCCATATTACAGAAGTTATTATCTTCATAAACTTTTTTGTTACATCTGGTGTACCACTTTTGAATGGGGCGTGATCTGATTTTGGGCATGCAAATCTATATGAAAGCCGGGCATGATGTGCATTTTTTAACTATTATGGAGATGAATGAATGGATATATTAATTTAATAAATCAACTTTTAAATATTAAAATTGCAAATTTATGGTGAAATAACATAATGCTCTGAAAAAGTTAAGTTTTCTTGTGATTAATGAAATTATGGCAGCAAATTTACATGCATAATTAAAGCAATAACCTTTAAATGATAATACTTTATAAAATAATAATTTGATGAAAATTATGTTAAAAGATTCATGTATTAAAATATTTTATGCAAATGCAAAATAACTTGAGAAATAAAAATTGTATATTTACAGGTATTAGAAAGTTACTTGAAACCGGTTTGTGGTCACTAATAGTATAACCTTCATGACTTCTGTATGATAATTGCTCAAACTTTAACTTTTTATTTTCAGATGTGTGATTTTTTACTTTGTACATAATTCTATCTGTCCAGGCTGGGCGACGCCTATAAATAGAAAACTATTAAATGCTATAAATATTTTTTATACTACTTCGCTTCATTATAAAGTAAATACATACTTCATATCATAATCATGATGAGTACCCACAACATATTTAAAGGTTGGCTTAAAGTTTGGTGTTTGTTCTGTAAATTCCTTAAACGCTTCACCTTTTATTCTTGCATTGTTCAACTGATCCATCTCATATAATTTACTTAAATGATTCTTTGATACTTCATCAGCAATATATTCAGCAGAAGTAGAATCTTCATCCATTAACCGAAAATTAAGATCACCAATCCAGAAGACATAACTAAAACATAACAAGTATTTCTTAGCAGACCTATTGCAGTTATTTTATATGTTGTATATAATTTTGCAGACTTACTCATGATCTAAAATGCTTTCAACAAGTTTAGGACTAAACTTGTTTTCTTTTATTATGTCATGATAATCATCTATGCGATCGGATTGCATATGATCATGAGCTGTTAAATGGGCATTCACAAAACACATTGATGATCCACGGTAAGAAAAACGTATACTCACAGCACCTTTATTGCCCTATTTAATTTAAGAGAAATGATTAAATAAGATATTACTAATTCTGCAAAATCACAAATTTCAATAACTTACACTAGAACACTCGCATGCAAATATTCAATAAACTATTGTAATATATAAATAAAAAACAAAACTTATATCAGCAGGTTAAAACTGAA